CATTTGAGTCTCAGTGCTGTCTTCTGGAGAGCCACCAGGGATACAATTACTCTCCCACTATCCCATTCATCTCAACTCTATAGAGCAAGCGTTTGTGTGCACCACGCAAGCCTGCTTTATTCTATTTTATTTGTCTAAATCTATCTTAAAGTGGGTAAAATGAGTGCAATGAATATTCTCATTGTTCTTAAATTCATTCAGAACATTTTGCTTTGAGTACAATGGATCAACATGAAAGCTATATGTTGCTTTGGCAGCTCATTTATGACGAGGTAGAAGTGCAGGCTAAACAAATAATAATAATAATAATTCAATTTAGGGGCTTCTTCTAAAATGACAGCCATTTGGAAACTTTCCCTCTGACTTTTTCACAACCCTTAGACTTTCGCTTTGTAATGTATTACTCTCTGATTTGATTTTCCTTGATATAACGTTTTCCAATAAAATACAATATATTTTTGAATTACATATGGCCCAAAAAGAACACTAAATCATAATTTAAACGTTGTCTGGAAAAGTCTGTGGGCTTTTCTTATAACATCTCAGTTGATTAGCAAGGAACACTGAGCTAAGTTTCTGTACCTTCCTTTGTTCATGTATTTGACTCATAAATAATTGTCTTTTCTGAATGCACTCCCTGTGAGCACAGTAGCCTATGGAAACACCATGCACAACTCAGAGGAAAGACTTAACCTGCGTGTGACCAAAAAGTAAAACTGAGTTAATGAAAGTAGAGGTTCACACAAAGCCACAGAATCCATGTTCTATGTGGATGATGTGAAGTATTTTGTGATCATGATAACAACCCTTCTTTTCTGCTCGCTTCTGCTCTCTCTAAACTAAAGCTGCTCTCCGTCACCAGGTACTTCTCTCTCAGGAATGTTTTTCACCCCTTCAAGTGCTCTTTCATGAAGGCCAGAGAGGTATTGAGAGGGCTTCAGGATTGTGCCGGAGTAAAGATCGGTTAAATTAGTCCACCTCCTGCTCAGACGCTTCTTTTATTCTGCGGGTCAGGACCTCCCTCCCTGTTTACCCACATAAATTGGTCTCTCTCTGTTTTCTGTCTCTATTCTTTCTCCCACACATACCTCCATTGTGACTGTGAGAAAGAGGAGGAGACAGGAATTTCATCTTAATGTCAAAGTTACTGAACATCCTTGATTTTCAAAGTCTCACACAAGTTTCCTCAGGTGATTTAAAGACTGAACTAAAAAGTCTGCAGTTACAGCCAGAGTGTAAATTATTGACAGACCAAAAGTGACATCTGCTGGCTGAAAGAATGAAGTCTTTACATCCACGTTCAGACTTACATGTGGCATCATGCTTTTCAAATGTGTCCCTCTTTGAAACAACAGCATAGAACTTAACAGTATCTATTTGTAATTATTGACTTTCAGTTTGATCATTATTAAGCATGGTTAATATTGTGTTTTACAATATTTTAGGCAGCTCATAAATAATTACCATATTATCTCCATGATAAGGTCTTTTCATCAGCCTTACTAAAGTAAATACTAAACGTTGATTAATTTTATTTCATGTGAAATTCAAAATGTATTTATATGCTTTTCATATGTTGTTAATCAGCATCTTAGTTAATTCTTGAGGACATCTTACATTTACAATTTAATCATCATTATTAGGTGAAATATCAGAAGAACAAAAAACTTTACAATATTTAGACGTTATTATATCACATACATGTCATTGAGAGCGTTATATGTTGTGTTTATTTGTTTATTTAGTATAGCGAAACAGTCTAGATACTCATCATTTCTTACAATGGATTATTGTCATTTCTGTCAGCTTTTTATTATGATCACATGCATTTGATAGCATTTTAAATTCTGACCTAAATCTGAGATACAATTTATCCTACATTTTCTCATGTACTAGTAAATCACACAAAGAAAAAAAAGTATTTCCTTCAAAGACAAGTCAGCATTTATACTCAACATTATTGTAAGCAAAAACAGACCCACATGATTACTGTGTTTGATCTCATACCGTAGAAAATGTCTTAGCGGTGATTTTGAAGCCAAAGGTGAAATAATATATGAAGACATGTCTGAAGGTTTGATCTCTCAGGCCATATATGAGTGGGCTCAAAAACTTAGGGAAAATGATAAGGCATAAAAAGAGAGCATACTGGACATTTGTGGCGAGGGTGAGATTACCTCCCCATAGGCTGTCTGAGTTTATCATATTAAACACAGTGGAGGTGAGACACAGGAACACCTGCAGCAGATGCAACAGCACTGTTTTATAGGCTTTACTGCCTTTTCTCTCAGTAGAAGACGAAGAGGCAGAGGCTGACCTCACAGTGATCATGATAGCAAAAAAAGTGTAGATGATGATAATAATTACACATGTAAATAACACAATGATGAAGGCATTGTTTGTATTCGAATAAAGTTGTTGACGGTAGAGGTGTCTGTGGCAAAACCTCGGCACAGTATAGTTTGTATTCTCTACACTGACAAACAGAAAAAGCTGTGTGAAGGAGTCTAAAGAGGCCACGGTCCACATCACAGCGATGGCCACTCTTGTTGTCCTGGTGGTTACAATATCTGCATGCCTCAGTGGAAAACAAATGGCAACATATCTCTCCAAAGACATCACAGCCAGGTTTAGGGGGGATATTTTAAAAGTGAAGGTTGCAAATATTGTGAGAATAATACAAATGTAGCTCATCATTCTGACCATGGTCACAGCAAAGATGTACAGCAACATGGTCATTAAAAGCTGCAGAGATTCAGACAAAAGTAAATGACCAAACAGGATATAACGGGGGGTCTCCCGGAGGAGAGGCTTGCTCAACAAGGCGAACAACATGACAGCGTTTACGTAGAGAAAGAAAAGACATGGCAGCATTGAGAGCACAGCTTTAACAGGCACATTAAACTGCATCTGCTGGGTTACTTCTATGGTGTCATTCATGACCGCAGCTTCATGTAGCGTCTGTAAAAGCATGGCACACAATCTCACTCATCCTTAATAAACATTATGAACAAGTCCTGAATGTTGAAGCCTGTTTATTTAAAAAAATAATAACTTAAATAATCATGTTAAAGCCTGCAACAAAGCCACAAATCAAACATCACAATGAATATATCAGAAACAAATAATATTTGCAGTTAAAGGCATGATGAATAGATCAATTGTTAGCATGAGACACATTACTTACATCTCACCGCTGTGATCTGACTTCATTTAACAATGAAGGTTCCCTCTACAACTTTGAGGAATGATTCACCCTTCTTCTCAACACCCCCTTTTAAGCTTTGTCTTGACAGCATCACCTGTGTCAGTCTAACAGCCAGTCAAAGCGCTGCGTTGTTTATCTGTTTTTCTTTGCAGGACAGTTTGAAAAGGTGGCTGCGACTGGCGCAAACATTTAAATGTTTTCTTTATTTAATGACACATAACAATGTTGTATCTGCTTTATTTATTTTTTGAGTGCACAGTTTGCCAAGATCCATTGAAATTCAATGAGGATATTATTTAATGGACATGTGTGCCCAGTGACCACCTGTGGAGCTAAAATGTACACTTAAAGTTCCTTCATACAATTATATGGCATGAATACTGCAGTATATCAACTTCAACAACACAGTTCATGTTCATTTCCAATTCAAATGTTTGCAGGCTTACTTTCAAAGTGTTTGTAAAACTGAGACAACACCAAAAAACACATAAAGTGATGCCAATCTAGATAATTGAAAATGATATGTATATGAAACCCAACTTGTATGCAAGACGATTACTTTTACATTTGTTTGGAATTACTTTTGTTGTATAGATTTTACAGTTTCCCGAACATGACATGCAGAACATCTCAAATCATGAATTCTCTGAAAAATATTTCTAAAGTGTAAACATGTTAAAACACAGGTTGCATTTTCACATTGTTTACATAATGTTTTCTTTTAACATTTAGCAGCTATGTTAGTGTTAAACTCTAAACCCAAAGCAAAGTACAGCTAATGCTAAGCGGATTTTTTTGGGTTATTCTCAAGTTTAAATGGAACACATTTCTTAGGACAAGTGAACCTTTGGAGATTTCTCATACCACATTTGATCCATGATTTGGTAAGGTCTTTTCATCACCCTTACTAAATAAAATACTATTGATTTGTATTTGATATGAAATTTGCAATGTTATATTTGAATGCTCTTATTAGGTGTAAATCAGTTTTACAATGGAGAACAGCATTCTTTAAGGTTCCTTAATAAAGTTCCCTTCATATATAATGTATGCATAAGTAAATTATTTATTTTAGGGTTTAATTGTATATTCACGTTGAGAATACAAAAAGTTAAGATGCTCAAGGTTTTAATAAAATATATAATGCAAGCAAAGAAATGTCAGATATTTAAAAGCAAAGCAAGAACTATTGCCTCTTTTGCTTCCAAAGTTAAGACAGTTGTTGAACCTATAGATGTGTATTTTATTTATAAAGAAGGAGAAGCAAATAGTGATGTGTGCATCTTAAAACTGCGATGACAGTGTTAGAAAAACAATGTTCACTGTGAACTGAGGAAAATATTGTAGATGAAAAATTGATAAACCCCAACCAAATAAACATTTTGAACCTTTAAATTAATGTTTTGTATTTCATATTGCTATCAAATAAATCACAAAGTTCACAATCATACCGTACATGGATCAATAAATGTCCGGTATAGTTATATACTGTATTGTCTCTAAAAAAAACTGATATTTTGAAGACTAATTGACACTGTGGCTTCACACAGTATCATTATTCTGTTATATTGATTTACAATGTTTTTATATAAAAAATGATTTAACATTTTCCGCACTTTTCCTTGTTATTATCAGAACATTTGCAGTTTAGTTTTAAAAAAAAAAGAAAGAACAAAACAATAATGATAAAAAACACATTTTCTATTCTGACATGAATCTAACTACATACAATTTATCATACATTTTGTCATGCTCTAAAGTAAATCACACAAGGACACAAACTTAAGTCCTGCAAATACAAGTCAGCATTTATATTTATCATGATTGTGCAAGCAAAAAAAGCAACACCAGAACTCATACTGTAGGAAATGTCTTAGTAGTGGTTTTAAAGCCAAAGGTGAAATAATATATGAAGACATGTCTGAAGGTTTGATCTCTCAGGCCATATATGAGTGGGCTCAAACACTTAGGGAAAATGATAAGGCATAAAAAGAGAGCATACTGGACTTTTGTGGCGATGGCGAAATTACCTCCCCATAGGCTGTCTGAGTTTATCGTATTAAACACAGTGGAGGTGAGACACAGGAACACCTGCAGCAGATGCAACAGCACTGTTTTATAGGCTTTACTGCCTTTACTCTCAGTAGAAGACGAAGAGGCAGAGGCTGACCTCACAGTGATCATGATAGCAAAGAAAGTGTAGATAATAACCATAATTACAAATACAAATACCACAATGATGAAGGCATTGTTTATAGTTGTATAAAGTTGTTGACGGTAGAGGTGTCTGTGGCAAAACCTCGGCACAGTATAGTTTGTATTCGCTACACTGACAAACAGAAAAAGCTGCGTGAACAAGTCTAAAGAGGCCACGGTCCACATCACAGCGATGGCCACTCTTGTTGTCCTGGTGGTTACAATATCTGCATGCCTCAGTGGAAAACAAATGGCAACATATCTCTCCAAAGACATCACAGCCAGGTTTAGGGGGGATATTTTAAAAGTGAAGGTTGCAAATATTGTGAGAATCATACAAATGTAGCTCATCATTCTGACCATGGTCACAGCAAAGATGTACAGCAACATGGTCATTAAAAGCTGCAGAGATTCAGACAAAAGTAAATGACCAAACAGGATATAGCGGGGGGTCTCTCGGAGGAGAGGCTTGCTCAACAAGGCGAACAACATGACAGCGTTTACGTAGAGAAAGAAAAGACATGGCAGCATTGAGAGCACAGCTTTAACAGGCACATTAAACTGCATCTGCTGGGTTACTTCTGTGGTGTCATTCATGACCGCAGCTTCATGTAGCGTCTGTAAAAGCATGGCACACAATCTCACTCATCCTTAATAAACATTATGAACAAGTCCTGAAAAATAATAACTTAAATAATCATTTTAAAGCCTGCAACAAAGCCACAAATCAATAAAACAATTGACATATGACAATAAATACATCAGACACATTTAATCTATGCAGCATGATGAATAGATCATTTGTAAGCATGAGACACAGTACTTACATGTTATTGCTGTGATCTACCTTCATTTAACAATGAAGGTTCTGTGAACAACTGGAATTAATCATCGTACTTAGCATCACGTCCTTTTATAAGAAAGCTTTGCCTTGACAACATCAACCAGTCAAAGCTCTTTGTTGTTTATGTTTATTTTTTTAACAAGAAGGATGCTACTAGAGCAGTAGATATTGATCTGCTCATTGGAGCATACATCCTTTTTTTTGTGTTATTTAACTTTATTTTTAAGCTTGAGTGCACAGTTTGCCAAAATCCATAGAATTTGCTAATGCATGAAGTAAAGGTTATTCAATCAACTATATTGCATCAATACTTCAATATTTGAACCACAACAATATAGCCTATAGAGGTAATAGAGCTTATTCAAATGTATTTAGAACCACTTCAACAGTGAGCTACAGAAATAAAACTTAACCAATGTATGCTCATTTAGATTATTGAAAATATACCTGATCAATAATATGAATATTAAAACATAATATGAAACACGGATCTGCACTCACTTTGCTTTCATTATTATTGGTTCCTTCTAATTTGTTATTATATGGTGCAGGCACAAAACATACTACCAATACATTGCTTCTAAAATCGTTCCGTGTCAGAATACTGAAATCTGTATTTCTTTTATCTCTTTTTCCTTCTAATTTGTTATTATTTACATTGCTTTTAAAATCGAAAATCGTGTTGGTGAACACGAATCAATAGATTAATTTCGTGACTATAACACGAAATGCCGTGAGACTGTGCGTGGACATTTGATGTTTTGTTATTTTGACGTGGGCTTTTAAAATACGTGTCGAAGACAATCACTTTTAAAATAGCTTTTAGTAATTTCTTTTGTCTACCCTTTCCTTATTCCTAAAATGACCTGCAATATTGCTAGTGTGAACATGTTAAAACACATAATTGCATTTTGTACGCTAACAATTAGCTGCTGCGTTTAATATAATTTCTAAGTATACTGTGGTGACACATTATTAGTACATAATTCACCGTGTGATTAGTGTGTGTTGCAACCCGGACCCGTTAGTGAGGGTACCAGGGTTTGTTGTCATTCATGATAGCTTATTATACATAGCAGCACATGTACTTGCCTCTTGTCGCTTAATGGATAATAAAGTGTGGAAGTCCATTCTGAATACACCGCCTCTGACTCCCGTTCATCGGCTCTACACTGGTGACCCTGACGTTTTCGAGAAAGTTTCCGAAGACTCAATGAACATGGCTGATCGCAATGTTTTTGTAAAGCTGCCGGAGCTTTGGGAGCATGCCGCTTCGGCGTGGTTCGCACACGTGGAGGCACACTTTGCCTGCCGACAAGTCCGTGATGGGGATTTGAAATATTTCCACGTGGTAGCAGCGATGGGAAGCTCCACGTCATCCAGGTTGGTGGGATTTATCACAGACCCCCGCACCATGGCAAATATGAGGCGATTAAGGCCCTTCTCCTTAAGACATTTAGCTTATCTGCTAAGGAGAAGGCCCGCCAGATACTTGACATTCAAGGCCTAGGAGACAGCAAGCCATCTCAGCTAATGGAGAAAATGCTAAATCTGCTAGGGGGGAAGATCCCCGTCTCATGGAGACGTTCCTGCGCAACTTGTCTTACTGGGTTCAGACGGCGCTAGCCAACACGTCCATTACGGAGCCCCGTGCCTTGGCTGAAGAGGCCGACCGTTTTTTCCTGGCTACCCAGCAGTCTGGTGCAGAGGCGCTAGCTGTGACGCTCGGCGCCCCCTCTACAGTTAAGAAGGCTTGGGGGAGGCTGGACGTGACGGTACCAAGCCTTCGGGGCCAGGGTGAAGAAGTGTGTCGCTCCCTGCCGTTACAAGCCTCCGGGAAACAGAGGAGCCGGCGCACAGTAGTGGCCCTGAGCGTTGGCGGCACGAGCAGGCTTCTCTTCGTCAGCGACAGAGTCTCAGGAAGCTTGTTTCTGTGTGACACAGGAGCTCAACGGAGTGTTGTTCCTGCATCGAGGGAAGACGTCGCTCGTGGGGGACATGAACCGCGGTTGACGACGGCTAATGGCGGCCCCATTCGCACGTACGGCGTGAGGCCTATGTGGTTGTGTATTGGAGGACAGCGGTTCAACTGGGATTTTGTGACGGCAGACATTTATTTTCCCCTCCTCGGGGCAGACTTTTTATGTGCTCACGAACTCCTGGTGGACGTTAAAAATAAACGCTTGGTTGATGCCTTGACGTTTTCCTCCCTCGTGTGTACACTTGGCAAGGCGGCGTACGATGAGCTGTCGGGCTCGCTGTCGGGAGCGGACATTTTTCTCAGGTTGTTGGCTGAATTTCCAGACCTGACGCTACCCACCTTCTCCGCGCTCACCACCAAGCATGGAGTGGAGCACCACGTCACCACCGAAGGTCCCCCAATCTACGCCAGGGCCCGGCGGTTGAACCCTTCTAAGCTTGCAGTAGCGAGGGCGAAGTTTTCAACCATGGAACGCCTGGGTATCGTCTGCTGTTCTGACAGTCCTTGGGCCTCTCCTCTACATGTCGTTCCCAAGCCGAACGGCGGTTGGCGCCCGTGCGGGGATTACCGCCGCCTCAACGACGCTACGACACCTGACCGCTACCCGGTGCCGCACATTCAAGACTTTTCAGCACATCTGGCCGGTACGTTGGTGTTTTCTAAAGTGGACCTGGTGCGTGGAAACCACCAGGTGCCCATGCATCCCCTGGACGTTCCTAAGACGGCAGTGATAACGCCGTTTGGACTTTTCGAGTTCCTGCGGATGCCTTTTGGGCTCAAGAACGCCGCTCAAACGTTCCAGCGCCTGATGGATTCGGTGCTGCGGGACCTGCCGTTTGTGTTCGTCTACCTGGATGACATACTCGTCGCCAGCTCTTCGGTGGAAAAGCACCTGTCACACCTCCGAGTCCTTTTCACGAGGCCAACACGGGTTGATAATCAATCCTGCAAAGTGCCAGTTCGGGGTGTTTGACATTGACTCAGACAACGCGTCACCAAAGGCGGTGCAGCACCCCTGCCGGCGAAGGTTGAGGCTGTCGCGGCATTTCCTCGCCCGTTCACAGCCCGGTCGCTCCGTGAGTTCCTGGGGATGGTGACTTTCTACCACCGTTTCATCGCCCGGGCCGCCCACATTATGCGGTCGCTGTATGAGGCCGCTGTATGAGGCCGCTGTATGAGGCCGCTGTATGAGGCTTTGAAGGGTACGACCCTTGCGTGTGGTCTGGAGGTTAAGCTTCACAGGACAACCGCTTATCACCCTCAGGCTAACCGCCTCTGTGAACGTTTCCACCGCTCCATGAAGGCAACACTTAGAGCCGGCCTGAAGGACGGCAATTGGGTCGACAAGCTGCCTTGGGTAATGCTGGGCCTGCGGACCGCGCCCAAGGAAGATCTGCAGTGTTCCACGGCTGAGATGGTCTACGGTCAGCCGCTGAGGGTTCCAGGGGATTTCCTCCCTAACACATCGGTTCCCTGGTCGGCGTCGGCGCAGCGGGTTTGCCTGCAGGCCGCCGCCGCCGAGGCTTTTGCTCCGATTCCCACTGCTCAACATGGTACTCAGGTGTCCCGGGTTCCCGCGGATCTCCGCTCGGCATGTACTTGCCTCTTGTCGATTAATGGATAATAAAGTGTGGAAGTCCATTCTGAATACACCGCCTCTGACTCCCGTTCATCGGCTCTACAATACTAACATTTAGCTGATATGTTAGCATAATATATATGTGCGAATTAAATATAATATATGAACCTTATTGCAAAGTTAATATAGTAAAGACTCCATCTTTATGAGGCTAAAGTTGTGTGATTGACATATTGAAGTTCTGTTAAATTAAAGTTTTTAGATTTAATTTCACAGAACTGTTTGTTACAATGGCAAAACATTTTTGAGCTCTGCGGACAGGTTGGCAGGTTGTAGATTTGGCCTAATTTACACACAATAATCAATGTAAGAAAATTGTACACTTTTCTGATTTAGCTTTATCTTTGACATTATTTTAACACTGGTGGTAAATGTTTATTGAATATAGGATGATGCAGCCAAATAAAATCTGTCAATCAGCTTTGTTTACATTCTTATAATGAGCTCTGTGACTAACTCTTTGGAGGACCATCATTAATGACACATTAATAATTCAAATATTAACATTGCACATAAATACACATGCAATATTTTCCATTGTGTTGGTCCGTGGAGGGTCAATTAAAAATGCATATCTTTCCCTGGAGTGAATCAGGCATACAGTACGAAGAAAAACATGTCAATTTATCATCAAGTTTAAAAACAAGAATCTTGTTTTCCATTTCTGTTTCTGCTGCATTCTCATTTTTAAAGGACCCATAACATGGCCATTTCTACTGATCATAATTCCATTGTTGAGGTCTACTAGAATAGATTTACATTGTGCAATTTTCCAAACTGTTAGAAATTAAAATCAATGTTTTGATGGCATAATGTACCTTAAACATACCGTCAGTTTAAATGCTGTTTTATACTGAAAAACCAGAAGTTCTTGTGCACAACCAGTTGTTAAGCTTTTATTCTGAAAATCCTTCATCTCTGGTTAGCATTTAGCATGTGGTTAATATACCATTTACTCAGTGGCGAACCGTCAGGGCCTTCAAGGTATTCAGAGAATACCCTGGAACACTCAGATAAAACAAACAAAAAATCGATTTAATTGTATAAATAAAATGTATATAAAATGAATAAATGAGAATCGTATCTGTGTTGTTGATCTGTAATATTACAGTGTTACGTTGATTTGTTTGTCCTTCTCGGACCATGCACTACGCATTTCAGTGGTTTTGTGTTAGAAAAGAAAGAAACCAATCAGATC